GAGGGGAAGGAGGAAGGAAGGAGAGGAGGAGGGCTGGTGAACAATCGGATCGCATGGAACAGGAGGAGGGCCCTCACATCCAACGAGGAACGTCTCTCCTCCCCTCAAAACCTATCTATCATTCCTTCCGCCTTACGTTCAAGCGCAGGTTCGACAGATGGACGAAGGTCCCGTCGTTCTCTTCCTCCCGCACCGGAGGGCCCTCCCCCGCCCCCTCCACCTCGCCCTCCTTCCCTCCCTCCTCCGACCCCACCGCCTCCTGCCTTTCCGCCACCTCACTCGTACTTTCTTCCACCCCTCCATTGCCCTCGTTGTCCTCTGCGTAGTCTTTCTCCGCCAAAGCCGCCCGGCGCAAGCGGCCCTCTCCATCCCTCCCTTCCTCGTCCTCCCTGTCCCTCCTCCAATCCTCTTCTCTGTCCTCCCTTTCCCCGTGCTTCGTCCCACCGCTGTCTTGCATCGCGTCCTGTGTGAATCCCACTGAAGAGGGAGAAATTTGTCACAGGCGAGATGACAATACCTTCTGAGTAAAAAATTGCCTCCTTTCCCAGATAGACATGAAGGAAGCTTTGCTTTTCTAGTAGAATGCAAGCAGAATACAGCCTATTGGACGACGAGCATTGGGCCAAAAAGTCGACATCCTCTTGAAAGATATACACCAAATTATCTTTCTCAATTTCACCGTCGACCTCTCTTACTAGCATTAATTGTCCCTCCCTACCTTTCTCCTGGCCGTCTGAGACGACGCTGGTAGCGGTACTTGTACCGTTGGCTGGGGAGAGCGGCAGGTCAAGCGGAGAGGATATCATCATTCGCTACTAAACGCTCTTTCAGTGTTTCGAGGGGCAGGTCTGTGAGTTGAGTGTGCATGAGTGAGCCCGGAAGACTGTCTACGAGGGTTGGAAGGAGACTTTGTCGTGCCGTGCCAAGAAAACGCCTACATCTGGGTGCTTTCATGTGAATGATATTCTTTATAATTTGTCGAAGAGACACAGGAGGCCTTAAAGACTTTAACGCGGACCTTTCCGTGCAAAAGGGGGCATGTGCAACAGTCTCTGTTGGAAATCCGTAAGGAGGGAGAGGAAGTGTTAGCAGGAAGGCGAGGGGGGAGGTTGGGAGAGCCCAGCGGAGGGTTCAAGTGTACGGGGTAGGCTCTGTATCAACGCCAAACATAACCTATTATACTTCCGGTCTTGGAGGATAAAGAAAGACCTGTAGCGGGCAGGCGATGTCGTGCATGGCTCTGTAATTTCCCCCCCTGTTGTGCTCAAGGCAAGGATCTTGAGAAAGCAGTCCTAGTCGAGATAGAATAAACTGACTTCAACTTTCCAACAAAAAATAGACTAAGCTGACCAATCCATCTCCATAGTGCAGGCGATTTGAGTGGTGTCGGCCCTTGCATATTTTCCACTACGTCCACGAAACGGCGCCACAACGGACCCTTGCCAGGATCGCATCTCAGAAACGTTGACGACTCCCCCAGTCGCACAGTAGTCTTTTGTGAAGAATTATGAGCCCAAGAGGAAGTTTCGTAGTGCAGAGGAGAATCTACCTCTTAGCGCTTCTTGTTGTTTCCCACATGGCGGGGAGAAGGAGGTGGGTTTGTATGAGACGAGTGGGATATGCATAGCGTGGGGACTGTCACCTTTTTTTTTAAATCGCATGCACCCTCCCTTAAACTTCACTCATCTTCCACGCCTCACTAATCAATGCTCTATAATTTTAAAAAGCAAATGCGTCCATGCTTTTGTGCCTATCCACCTCTCGTATGGCCCGGACTTATCGCGTGGTCCCTCTCGGTGCGGCCCCCCTGCAAGGTAAGTAGGAGCGAGTCGCTACACCGGTCTTGTCCGCCCCCGCTTCCTCTCTTTGACGGGGGTTTTGCTCACTTCCTTCCTGTCTCTGCATTTTCTTGCATCGTTTGCGCTGTAGAGGCATGCCTGTCCCTGCTCGACCCCTTTGCCTACGGAGAAGAAAGGAAGCTGTCTCCTCCTCGCCCGCTTTCGTGGCCCTTAGTGCCGGCCTCGTCGATACTGAGACAGCACGTGGTGCCATTACCAGCCTCCTCCCTCTCTCCTCCCCCCCTGCTGCGGCCATGCCTTCCCTTGTGGCAATCGCCCAAGGCACGGAGGGGAAGGGGGACTTGTTGGAGGCAGCAGGCACTTTCACCCTCGACTGGTTGAATAACGTAAATTACGGCGCCGTGTTCGCCTTGTCTCTTTTCCCTTACTTGATTTTTCTCAAAAATATTTGGCCTGAAGACTATCCGATCCCCAAGGTGGGGGGGGGTAAGAAGAGAAAGAGGGGGAGGGAAAGTAGGAGGGAAAGAGGGAGAGAGGGAGGGAAAAAGGGCAGGATGCAGCATGCAATGTGCGCAGACAGGATGTCCGAAACTGCTACTGTTTGAGCATTCGAGGGAAAGAGCGACCAGATCCATCGCCTCGTCTGCCTGGAGGACGTCGACTGACTTCCGCTTCCCCGCCCCCTCTTCCCCCTCCCCACAGACCATGAAATGGGGTTTCGCCTCCCTGCTCATCTTCGTGGTGTCCACCATCATCGGTGGCATTGCTGCCAAGCTCATATACAACGATGTACTGGCAAATGTGGACTATATTCATGGAGTGGCCGAGTCCCTGCTCGGTAAGCGGCCGACGGGCTTCTAACCCGAGTTTTTTTTAGGGGAATCCCTACTTTTGTATTCGGCTCCTGACCCGAGTTTTTTTTAGGGGAATCCCTACTTTTGTATTCGAAGGGCCACTCTGGTCATGGTACCGGAGAGGACTCCTCCATTAGTGCTTGTCCCGGTCTCTTTTTTTAATAACTCTGCCACTCATGCACCCTACGCACGTCGTAGCGGCTCCGAGGGGACGAATCCCAGGACCGCGCCTCCGCCTTTCTGGCATCACATCCGTACTTGTTGCGTCCCACGTCTCACATGTCTACTTTGCCTCGCTCGCTCTTGCAGGGGTCACCAATATTGTCTTGGCCATCGCCGCCTTCCGGGCCCTGGAGGCCGCGAAGAAAGATCGGAACGGAGAGCGTCCCTCTGTGTGGACCGAAAACGGGGACTTGGACGGGTAGGAGGACAAGGGCGCAAGACGTGGCACTCATAGGGGGCTGCAGCTCCAGCCCAGGACGAGAAGCGGTGAAACTGTTCCGGAAAGGCATGCGGGGCTGTCGATGCTTGGTCTGTCACAGTACACCACCGACCGTGGAGCCGCCATTGCTTTCACGTGGCACAAATATTTGAAATGCAAACGAAATCAGCATATTTTCGAGGGCTGTTGGATGAGGCTGTCTTCATGGTTTCACTATTTTGTTCTTAAGTTTGCCCCTCTATTTGTTTTGTCGAACGATTCGCAGCACCGCATGACAGATCCCTCCTAAAAACGTTTAAAGACAACTACTTTATCATTTCCCCCCGCCGTGTAACCATTCTATATCGAGTCACGTCACACCAGAACTTGTAATTATTTGATAGAACTTTTGGTTTTTGCAAAAGAATAAGTGTTGTGTGCAAGAGACTGTTCAATCTACAAACGAAGTATGTTCTCATACACACGAAGTATGTTCTCATATTTTCAAGGGGGTTCGAAAAACAAGCGAACCAAAATTTTGGTTGTCAATGTCCAATTCGCGAAAGTGTACTTAGCACCACTGCCATTTCCCCCCCTTTTGTAACCCATGTTACTTTTTTTGGAACAATTCTTCGCTATATCAAGTCAGCGTGCGATGGGCCAATTTTTCGCTTGGTTGTGTAGTTGTCGTGGCGCACGCGTTGACTTGAAGATACGCCTTTGAAGTGAGCGTTTGCTCGTTCTCCCCTTCACGTGCCAAATAAAGATAAAGGCACACTTCCCTTGCAATCGGTAGACAACATTTCTGCACATTTTGTTACAGAGAGGCGCGGGCGTTCATTCGTGTTGTCCAAGAGCTGAAAGGACAAAAAGCATGATTGACGCAAGCGATAGGAAGAAGAAGAAGGCGGGTACGCGATGACGACAGCTGAAATCAATAAATGAAATTCGAAGCAATGAGAATCAAATGCTCCTTGAATGTGCATCAAGTCGTACGACGGCAGATAAGGCGTGCTACTATTGGACATGCTCACATTATTAAATTGTGCTCGTAACCCATACTTGGCATGTAGGCAACGCGAAAACGCGGCGACACGCTAGTATTCTCTTAAAACTAAGAGCGACTTAAAAAACGTTCGAAGGCCCCGCGCATGTCTCCTGCGGGAAAAATAGAAAGTTTAGAGGCGTGTGGTAGAGGGAAGTCACCTGCCACGGCTCCAAAGCATGCTTTGCAGCATGCCACAGGCAAGGTTCAGGCCGCTGGCGGTACGTCTGTTTTTGCTCCTCCCCCGGCTACGACATCCCATGAAAGAGTGCTCGATGGAGCGACCGAAGGCCTCAAACCAGATATGGAGGAACGGGAATGGGTGACGTGGCACAAGCCGTGGGCCCGTTTTGATAACCCAGAAATGGCATGCGATTTTGAGGCCATGCCGCTGGAAAAGCGGCACGATTACCTCATTCAGGGCGCCACCGCGCTGGATCATGCCCTCACACCTCTGCCTAAAATGAAGGGGCACAGACACACCCTTGAAGCGGTAAGTGGGCAGCACTCGAGTGTGTGATGGATGCAGAAAGCCGGACTCGTGGCGATTTCGTTACCACCAGACGCTGGAATGTTCTCTGAGCGCCCTTTGTAACATCTTTGTCCCTGCACTTTCTTCATTGCAGATGCTTCAACTCGTCAGGGACGACTTTGAGACCCAGCGGCCCATGTCCGAAGACGCTCGCCTGGCGTGGAGGAGCGCCTTGGAGCTGACCCGGCGGAACCGGGGTCCGAAGGTCGACGAGGTTTTCAAGTGCGTGGTGGATTGTCTGGTATTTTTGTTGCACACACGGTGCGTGACCTGTCTGCCTTTGTCGTGTCTCACTACTGGCAGGGAGGTTCGGGAGGGTCTGGGCCGAGGGAGATTTTGTCGGCGGCGGGTTTGATTCCAAGAGGGTGCTTCTCACGAAGGGGCTACTGTCACTTTCTACCTCCGTCGTTTGACAGACGCGTGCCCGACTTTCCGCGCCAGTACCTGGAGCGTGTAGTGCGAGGGATGATGAAGGATTACGCCGTGGGCTTGGGGGTGAACAATGTGGCCAGGCTGGCGGCGGTGTTTGAGGACATGACACCCGCCTTGATTCGGGCGCGGGCGGCGGCTTTGCGCGCGGGCGCTCAGGGCAAGAAAACCAGCGAGTGTTTCGAGAGGATCATGGACGTCTTGAGGGAGGAAAAGATGGAGGTGAGGGTTGTAAAGGGGCAGGGCGGGCGGGGAAGGGAAGGGAGGAAAGGGAGCGAGGAGAGGGAATGCCTGTTCTTTACCCTGACCCCAAGCGTCTTGTTCACGTTGCGGACGTTCCCTGGCGAAGACACAGGCTCGGGAAGGACAAGTCGACGCAATCACGGAGGGACTGTCGCCTTTGGAAAGGTACGGGTATGGGTGCTGTATCGTCTAATGCCTCCCACGGGCCTGGTCTGGGGAAGGTGTCTGCTGGCGGGGGCTCCTGTGGGTGCGATCCGGCCTTGGCAAGGGCGCGGTCAACGGCACGACGGCCCTCTCCTGTACTTCACCATGTTCTCATCCCTCCTTCCCCTCTACCGGCCCGCTTATTCCTCCTGGCAGGGAGATCCAGGCCCACGGGCTGGACGTGGACGACGCGCGGGTCGTTGCGTGCTTTGTGACGGGCGATCCGGCCTTCCTCTCCACCCACACCCTCCACGACTGGATGCGTATTTGGAAAAAAGTCCGCGAAAAATGTCGGTACCTCCTCCAGGGTGACTTTGGGAGGAAAAATCAGAGCGTCATCGAAAGCCTGGTTGCCATGGCGGGCGATAGTAAAAGTGGCCGGAAGCAGAGCGGCACAGCGTCTCTCTCCAGGAAGCGCAGTGACGAAACCAGTACCAGTGGACAGGATGGCTTTGGAGGTGTAGAAGAGCAGAGAAAGAGGGCCAAGGGAGGAAAAAAAACGATAAAAGTGGAAAAAGTGGGGCCTGGGGAGGCCTTGAAGGAGGGTGATAGTCATCCCGAAGAGAAGCCGACGGCTTATGCGCCCTTCGAAGATTACCAATACTTGCTCTTGCTGAAAAAACGTTGCCTGGAGTCGCCGAGGGGCGGCGAAGGCGCAGGAATAATGGCGGGAAACGCATCGGCCACTTTGTCGGCGGCTCCGGTGCCTGTGCCTGAGGCTTTCCCCTCCCACACCCCAACTCCGCCCCCCTCCACACCACCGCCGACGTCCCTGCCCACCCATTCACACGAGAGCCTAGCCCCGAGACAGTCGGCAGCCCTGTTGAACACCTTACCTACAGCAGCGTCTTGGCGTCAGCCTCCGGGCAGGGGAATTACCACGGGGTCCACCGGCATGACTGCGCTGGCAAGGGGGGCCGCCACCTTGCGCGCCGATGCGGGAGCGGCACCAGCTTCCTTCCTTTCCGACGTGTCGCGGCATGGGGAGACGACGGCGGGGGGCTCGCTCTCTACTGACGCCTTGATGCGGCCACCCCACGCCGGAGGGGCAGGAACGGCCCCGGCCCCCTCTATAAGCACTCTCGCCAAGGTCCGGGCGTCGTCCGCAGCAGCATCCTCAGGTAGCCCCACACGCAAAGCCGCCACCGGGGCCCCGAAAGTGCAGCCTCCGCCAGGACCGCCATCCGTGACGACAGAGCCGACGACCGACGCCTGGGCCCCGCGGGACTCGCCGGTTCGATCCGTTCGCGCCTTACTGTCCAAGGGAAAGGCCACTTTGGCACCCACGACGACGGTGACCAGGTCGTTGCCCGCACACTCCACCATCACAAAGGCCGCAGGGCGCCAGGAATGCCTGCCGGCGGAAGCAGCTGCAACGGCCACCACGGCGCACATGGTCTCATTCCCACCACATGTGACCGCCACCACCACGACAACGGCGACGCCGTCGTTGGGGACAGAGGAGAAGGTCGTCACCACCACCAAAGCCACAACAGCATCCGCGAACTCGAGGGACGCGGGCATTCCGACCCCTCCGTCATGGAATGGGCCGGTGGCGACTGCCAGGGCGCCGACTTGGCCTTGCGTGAGGCCTCCGTCGTCTCCCCCCCGCGTCATGGGATCGATCCCGTCACCGTCCTTACAATCAGCCAGCGTACCAAAGCGAGACCTGTCCTTGGGCGCCGCATCCCCCAGCACTGACCCTACCCCAAGCGTTACTACTACCACAGCCACGAAGACCACGACGGAGACGGTGAAAAGCCAAACTGCGACGGCTCTCACAGAAATCGTCACCACGGTGACGACCATCACCACGACCACTACGACTACCACACCATGTGAAGCATTCAATGCATAAACCTCCATCTTTAGGGGAGAAGGAGATGTGTTCGGAAACAAGGGGGAGGGAATGTTTTTTTATATTAAATCTAATGACGAAAGCGATCGAAAGGTGCGCATTGAGTGTACATTGTAAGATGAAAATTCAAGAATGGACAAAACATGAAAGTGAAATATAGATTACATGACATTGAGTAAAACAGGTCTGAAGGATATTGGACATGAAAATTGTCACTGGTATGGCGGACAAGAAGATGTAGTCAGGTTAGTTAGGCGCACAATTGTCTGTGCTAATCAGTTTTTGTCTTTGAAAGCAAGGGTATGTCTATGTTTTAGCTGTGCTCCCAGTCTAAAAATATACGAAAGGAAGTGGATAGTAAACGTGCCTGTTCAAGGAGCTATCTGGCGATGGACGACGCCTACAGCCACTTCCATTTCGAAAAATGCCGGCAATGTGTGTGTGACTACAAAATACGCCTTTACTGTTAAGGGAAAAAGGAAGATGATACATAGCTGTGGGATGCTCTTGAACGGCTTCATCCAAGGTGGGGCTTTTATGTAGGCTATTATTTTCCAAGTCAATTGCCATGTATCCCCCAACGCACCCCCCGGCAGGCGGCGACTACGCTTGCCGCCACTGGCATTTCCACACGAGCCTGCATCCTTTTCCTTCCAGCCTGCTAGGATCATCCGACAAAACGGCCTTTGATACATCCTCTTGTTGGAAAGTAAGCTCCATTTTCGTCAGGCTTCATGGATTTAAAGCTGACTACTTTGTCCTTTTATCCTGTAGGAGTGAGGGATGGAACGTATTCCAGTTTCCGAGACTCCAAACCCTGCAAACTCGACACGGAGCTCCTCAGGCATTCCATGCAAAGCTACTGAGGACTCTTCACCTCGTATCGGCCCTCAACGGTACCGGAGCAAGTTTTATTTGGTTTCCTGCCACCGCGATGAGGCTCCAGCCAAGACGAACGAAGTACGTGTGACCTATCAAGGTCAGGTGAAGTGCTACGTGGGCTACGCGAACGCACTGTTTGAAGAGCGAAAGGCCCGTGCTGTTGCTATTAAAGGCATGGGAAGGGCCATTCACAAGGCCGTTGCCGTGGCACAGGTCTTAAAGCACCGCATACCCGGTCTGCACCAGCGGACAGATATTGATTCATTGCCTTTTAAAGAGATGTGGGCCCCTCTGGAGGAAGGGCTTGACCCCGTGGAGTCGACGCGTTACATATCTTCGGTTTTAATCACACTGTCAAAGGACAGACCCCCCGCAAGTTTGTGTGAAGCTCCGGGCTACCAGCCTCCCGCGCCACCTTCTGCCCCGCAATTTCCAGGAGGAATGGACGAATATGCTCATTTTCCGTGGGGAAGAGGCAGGAGCTGGGACGCGAGCGGTCGCACAAGTGGAGAGGGGATGGGCATGGCAGAAAAGAAGGAAATAGGACCAGGATTCTCGGACTATGAAATGCTCCCTGACATGCAGGCAGCACAGGCGGCGGCATACGACCGGTGGCTGGCGGAAGTACACTTCCAAGCGGAGCAGCTCGAACACTTTCATGGAACTCAGCACTTTCCACACCATTATTACTCTCAGCAGCGACATAGGCTACCATTTGAAGGGCAATCTCAACCTCAGGACTCGCCGCGTTCACATTCAGCCTTACATCAGCCCCCTTTGTACCACCGCCCCCATCACTCGCAACAGCCAGGATATCATCATTTGCATGGGCAGTATCAGCTGCAAGAGCACTACTATTCTGTTCGAACACAGCAGTGCTTGCAA